TTTTCCCCCCTTCCTTTTCCACTGCCCATAATAGGTCTGTGGCGACTGAGATAAAATATAAAGTCCACCCACACTGCATAGAATTGTGCTTCCTTCCTGTGGGGTTTCATTATTTATTCACAATCTTTTCTAAGGTAGCAATTGAAGAGTCCCTGTTAATCCACATCTCAGTTGTTAAGTTGTTGCTCCACCAGTTGTCATGGCCACTTTGCTGCTGATATCCCAGAGGGGCCTTCTTCATAGCAAGGTGCTGTGGATCCAGATCAACGGGTGAAGCACCTATGGAGCTCCTGTTTTATTGCAAATGAGGTGTAAAGAAAGCTCTGGCTATTGGGCAGTTTAAAATTAAAAGTATTTCAAAATTATGTAAATGAAAGTTTAAAAGTGGCTGGATTTATGCATCACAATATGTAGTTTGTTCACTTTCAGCCTAGTTGGTTCTGCCATGCCTCTTAGTTGCAGGTTATTAATTAAACCAGACATGTCAAAACACAAGGCCCGGAGGCCAGATGTGGCCCATGAAGTGGTTTCATGTGGCCCGTGAAGCCATCTTGGAAACAATGAGGGAACAGTCCCCACTGCCTTGGCCCTGGGGCCGGGAGCCAATGTACAATTTTGTGGTGGCCATCTATGCTCAAATGCATTCAGTCTTAGCTCCACAAGGCCGTCTGGAAACAGCGAGGAACCAGGCCCCTGGGTGCATGCTGGGGAGGTGTCACCCTTTGTGAGGAATGAAAAAATGCACCATCGCCTGGAAGTGGCCAGCAAATGGCCCTCACCTACTTCACGTATCCGGCTTGATGGGCTCTGCCAGAGACCCTCAAATCTGTCCCATTCCTGCCCCCACAGGCATCCTTGACGCGAATAATGTAGAGCTGGCCACACCTACCCAGTAGGCCACACCCACTCCATCCACGCCCCCCCTCCCCCTCCCAGGGCAACTGCAATGCTGATGCGGCCCTCAATGAAATTGAGATTGACACCCCTGTATTAAACAGTTGGTTACTTGATGCATAGGCCCCCCAGGCTTCCAATAGAAATAGCACTGACACATTTTATAGATATCTGCATTTTTTTAATTAAAAAAAAAATAGAACTAAGGTGGCTTGCACATCCCTTCCCTGCAAAGAATAGGAGGAGGAGCATTGTATATTGAATTTTGCATTTTTTTGCTGGAACTAGTTAGTCCAGCCATGCTGTCTCAGGAATTCTGGGAGCTGAAGTCCACACATCTTTAGGTTGTCAAGGCTGAAAAACAGTGAGTTGGTCCCTTTAATTGTCTTGAAAAGACAACAGCTCTTCCAGCAAGGGTCTCTCTTTAGTTGCAAAGTATAGCAATGCTTCTTATACACTCCAATTTGAACACCAACACCCACTATTTTCAAATCCCAACTCCTTCAGATAGATACGGTCATATTGAAAGTACTGAAAGTCTGTGACATTTTGCAAAAAAAAAAAAAAAAGTTTGAAACTCAGGAAACCCTCTAAACCAGTGGTTCTCAACCTTTTTAATGCCGTGACCCCCAACCGGTCGTAAGTCGAGGACTACTCAACTGGTGCAGCACCGTTTGCAGACTGGGGCTTTTGGCGGGCTCAGCAGGGCAGAGACAGCCTGGACAATTCCTATTGGCTTTTGAAAGCCAATAGAATTAGACTCTATTCAAGAGAGTCTCTTCTATTGGCTTTCAAAAGCCAATAGAATAAAAGGGAGTAGCACAGCTAAGGAAAAGGGGAAAATAAAATGGCGGACTGCGTTGTTTGGCGACCCCTGTGAAATGGTCGTTCGACCCCAAATGGGGTCCCGGCCCACAGGTTGAGAACCACTGCTCTAAACCATCTAAGTGTCTCAGACTAGACGAGCTTGCTTATCTGTCTGTCCGTCCATCTATTTTCTACATCTCTCTTCTCTCTTAAGTGGCTATGATGGTCCAGAAAGGATTCAACCAAGGCTAGCAAAAGCTTAAGAAGCCACGGATTCTTGGGCTCGGTACAGCAGGCTGCTAGCACATCCCTGGGGATGGTGCTAGCCGTTCTTAAAAACCCCCACAAAGCCCTCTGTGTTGTATTTTTACTCCAGGGCTTCATTTACGTCATTACATGTCATCAATTTATACTTGGCCCATGTCTCAGGGCAGCGTATTTCCTCAGGGAAGACTATACTATACTTACAAGCACATTCACACACAGTCCAGACCAGCAACATAAATACACACATAACTGCTGGGGAAAAAAAATACTTATTCAGCAGGTCCTACCACTCCCAGACTCATACCTTCCAAAAGATAGCCTGGGAGGCAGGATTGGGCAAAATTGGCGCTGTTCCAAAAAGAAGGACCATCCTAGGGTCCTTGTTGCTCTTTGAGCTTGGTTGTTTTCTTGCAGACATTTAATTACCAAACTAGGTAACACCCAAATTAGTTAATACCATCAGGGCATCAGCACTGATGATGTTACCTAGTTTGGTAATGAAATGTCTGCAAAAAAAAACAACCCACCATTTTAGATGGCACCAAAGACCTCACAGTTCAGTCCTAAGCTAGAAATATTCACTTCTATCAAGAAGGAGCACCAATGGAAAAGACAGGTCCCATCATCTGGGTTCTGCTAGATGATAGGACCTGACACATGTCCATCTAGAAAAATGGGGAAAGAATGGGGTTATTATCACCACTACCAGGAAACCTTAAGGTTTCTTAAAATGGGCCTGACCCTATGTCCTACTTGCCTTTCTTTGTAGAATTCTTACAATCCACTGAGATTGTAAGGTAGGCTATTTGTACCTGCCTACTGATACCCAAACCATGTTTTTCCCCACTTTGTTTTCCAGCTTTATGCAATATTCTAAACTGTTTAAACTTTAAGCATGACTTCAATTCTGGGAGTTGAAGTGCACACATCTTAAAGTTGCCAAGGTTGAGAAACACTGCCCAAAACTACAAACACACAAACTGGATTTGCACAATGTATAATGAGGTTGGCTACTTTGTGTGTTATGCAAATGGAGCTGGTAGAGAAAATAGATGGTTAGAAAGTTGTTTCCTTTTGTTGAAAGAAACAAAAACACATGAAGTGAAGACAAGTCTCCTGGGATTACAACACCCCATTCTTGGTTACCTCAAATTGTTGATTGATCAAAAGGCTGAAGATCTAGAAAGGGAACAGATGATGCTCTAGTGCAGTGTTTCTCAACCTTAGCCATTTTTAAGTTGTGTTCACTTCAACTCATGCTGGCTGAGGAATTCTGGGAGTTGAAGTCCACATATCTTAAAATGACTAAGGTTGAGAAATATTGCCCTGTAGGTCTCCTGCAAAGGATACACTTGGGTGTAAGCAACTAAGAAGTCATCGCCTTGTAGAAAATGTGATAAGCTACATCTAAATCTGAACTCTGCAGATGCTAGGTTATGCTGAGATTTTTTAAAAAATTAAATGTATATGCCACCCATCTCACTGTCCAAAGCAACTTGATTAACCATTATTTGTACCACTAGCCAATTTGTTGGGTTCATACAACACAGTACAACCCACAATTGCTGTATGTGCAACACTTTAAACCAAATTCAAACATCTCATTTGGATGTGCTAAGTTCTATGAACTCTGGCTGAAATACATGCCTGACTGCCATCTTATGTGTGCACTTTGTTGGAGAAGACACACTTGATTTTACACAGACTCTGAACAAACTACAAAACAAACTACATTAGTTTGGTATGCTGACCCAGTCACTTTTAACTTAGTCAACTAGGGGTAAAATGAATTATGGTTTAATGCAGAGTTTCTTAAAATGTCCTAGGACCCTCGGGATCCCCTAAGACCCTCACAGACCACCTCAAAATCAAAATTACTTGCCAGGCTGTTGCAAATAATACATTATTAAAATCCCTCCATACAGTCATCACAAGTGGCAGCTCAATCATTCCATTTTAATATTTAATATGGTAAATATTGATAAGTAGACCTCATACAAACAAAAGCTGCTGGGGTGTGTGTGTGTGTGTGTGTGTGTGTGTGTGTGTGTACGTTCCCCATCATCTTTAAAAGAAGGAGGCCAAAAGTTCAAAAACCACTGATTTAACCTAAAGCTCAAATTCAGCCAGTGCATTTGAAGGGCTTTGATTAGGCAAAGCCACCATAAACAAGGTGGCAGTATATTTGGAGCATTTTGTAAAAGCTTGGCTTTATTAAAAAAAAGAAAAGAAAAAAAAGGCAAAATCAAAAGGGGACCTTTTTATGCCCTTGACCAGGGACCAAAGCAAGCTGGAAATGAGAAGACAATTCCTGAGAGTGAGAACAATTAACCAGTGGAACGACTTGCCTCCAGAAGCTGCGGGTGTGCCATGGCTGGAGGCTTTTGAGAAGAGACTGGACAGCCCCTTGTCCGGAACAATACTAGGCCTAAGCTCTCCTTGCTTGAGCAGGGGGCTGGACTAGACGACCTCCAAGCGCCCTTCCAACTTTGTTCTGTTCAGAATTGGGTATGTCTAGTTTAACGAAGAGAAGGACAAGGGGGGACATGATAGCAGTATTCCAATATCTCAGGGGCTGCCATAAAGAAGAGGGAATTAAGCTATTCTCCAAAGCACCTGAAGGCAGGACAAGAAGCAACAAAGGATGGAAACTAGTCAAGGAGAGAAGCAACCTAGAACTAAGGAGAAACTTCCTGACAGTGAGAACAATTAACCAGTGGAACAATCTGCCTCCAGAAGCGGCAAATGCTCCAACACTGGAAGTTTTTAAAGAAGAGACCGGACAGCCATTTGTCCGAAATGGTGTAGGGTTTCCTGCCTGAGCAGGGAGTTGGACTCGATGACCTCCAAGGTCCCTTCCAACTTTACTACTCTTACTAAGTCCGGCTCCTTCCCCAGCCTGGTGTGAACTGGGATGCTACTAATTCCGGAAGGTGGGAGTTGCAACCTGGCGCATCTCAAAAAGGCGGAGCCCGGAAGGGGCCGGGGGGGGGGGGAGGCTGCAGCGCTGGCGGAGGCGAAGCCAAGCCTCCCAGCCCATCCATCGTCCGCCGTGTTGGCGGGCTTGCTCCGGATTGCAGCTCGGCTCCCTTTGGCGGGGGGGGGGGGCTTCCTCCGCCCCGCCTTTTGCACGGCGCGTTGCAAGACGTGCTCCGCCCGAATCGTCCGGGCTGGGCAGAGAGAGAGAGAAGGGGGGAGTGGGCAGGGCGCGAAGCTCGGGTCTAAGAGCAGCGGCAGCCGCGGGGAGGTGGAGCGCTCGGCCCGCTGGACCCGCCCGGCTCGGCTCCAGCCTCTCCAGCCCCGCCGTTCGCTTGGCCTGTGTGGCGAGGAAGCGCCCGCGCTGGTCCGCAGGATGGTGATCAACGTCTACATCGCCTCTTCCTCCGGCTCCACCAAGGTAAACCGCCCCAACTGCCTCCCAACTTTCTTCGCCTTTGTCCCGGAGGAAAGTTGCAACCGCAGCCGCCCCCCCTCCCCCCTATTCTCCCCCCCTCCCCCCTGTTCTCCCCCCCCCTCCTGAGAGGGAAGGCTCCCCTCCCGTGGAAAGGGTCCCTTGCTTTCCTCGCTTTTTTTCCAGTGGCCCCTCCTCCCTCTCCCCCAAATGGGAGCAGGGCTCAACTTTTAGCAGGGCTGGTGCTTTGGGGCTGTAGTTCCCCCCCCCTCACCTAATTCTTTCCTTACACACACACATACACACACACACACACACCTGGAAGGAGCTGGTGTGGGAGCCCTTCTGGCAGAGGGTTTCTGGGGTTGGGGCCAGAGGAGATGTGCCTGGTTAATTCCATGCACTGGAATTGGGAGATTCTCGGTTTAAAATGAATGCATGATTGTCTGGCTGTGGAGGGCGCATAGGAGGTGGCTGTGGCCTCTTAGTTTTCATGAGCAGGCAGGCTGGCTGGCTGGGTCTCCTCTTAGTAAGACCTTCCTGGTCAGGGCAATTTATTCCTAGGTAAATAAGAATAGATTGGTGGCTTAGTTTCTCCCTCTGGCTATAATAGTGCAGTATATCTTCATTGGATGGAACCCTTTCCTGCTCAAAGGCTGGACCACAACCATTTTCCATCTCCTACTTACAGGCTTGAGGCTTCCTAGCTGTATGCAGCCCTGTTTCTAATTTAGAGGAAGCTTTGATGTGAAGCTTTTTGCTAGTCTGGAGAGCATCTGCCTCTGGAAAAATGTACCGATTCTTTCTCTGTGCAAGAATTCTTTTTTTTTTTTTCCTTAGTGCCTTCTAGGCTCAGGTGATAAAATTCGCCCTGGAGGAATCAAGTTCCCAGTTTGTCATTTTTCCTTGTTTGCATATTCACCTTTAAAAAAAAAAAGGTTGCCAAGATTATCCAAACAATAAGCATCTCTTTAATCCACTTAGCACCTGGCTTTAGGTCGCAGCAGCACTCCCTCAAAGCAAAGATCCTGCTGCTTGAAACACAAAACTTGGGTCTTTGTTTGGATTTCAGCAAAGGTGTTAGTGCGTTCCCAGTTGCTTTTCTGTTTCGCTCCAAATTTTATTTTCACTTGGCGGGTTTTCCCAAGCATTCGGTCCTGCAGACCTGAGTGTTTACAGGTTTCTTACGGTTCTGTTCTGTTTTCATCCAAAATGCCTTCACTGTGCGCTTTAATCCAGTAAATGAAATTTGTGACTCAGCGTTGATGAGGGACTTGCAAAGCTAGAGAAAAACCAAGGGCTATTTCCCACAATGCAGAAGGATGACCAAAATATTGCATTGAGTAGGGAGATGTACTGAGGGGAGATTTTGAGGCAGCAGCTCTGCTTGGTCTTCAAACTTAGCGAATTGTGGGAGGGGTTTGTCAATTATCTGACTCGCCTGATCTATCTCTTGGATCACTAAGAGTCATGCTATGCGCAGATGACCTTGGGAGACAGGAGGGAGAGCTGCAAACTAGACAAGCAGCAAGCAAAAGATGTCTCAGCCCACAGAAGCAGGGAAGAAGGCATGGGAAACATTTCTGAAAAGACCCTCCCAGGTTTTCTTGCAAGAATCTGTTAATATTATACTTGCAATAAAGATCAAGCTAGCACTCCTGTTTGTGCTTCTTGTCTAGATCTGGGCAGGGCTATCACTTAAGAAAACAAAGCGAGGAAAATCTTTCCAAGTCCTCTGTTCTTATGCTTTAAAGCAGTGGTTCTCAACCTTTTTAATGCCATGACCCCCCAACCGGTCGTAAGTCGAGGACTACTCAACCGGTTGTAAGTCGAGGACTACTCAACTGGTGCAGCACCCGACAGCCTGGACAATTGCTATTGGCTTTTGAAAGCCAATAGAATTAGACTCTATTCAAGAGAGTCTATTCTATTGGTTTTCAAAAGCCGATAGAATAAAAGGGAATAGCACAGCTAAGGAAAAGGGAGAAAAAAATGGCGGACTGCGTTGTTTGGCGACCCCCGTGAAATGGTCATTTCGACCCCAAATGGGGTCCCGACCCACAGGTTGAGAACCACTGCTTTAAAGAAAGCAATTGCTTGGACAAAACTTTTTAAATGCCAACTTAAAGTGGTAAATCATAGTTCTCACTTGAGAAACGAGCCTTAAAATGAATCTTGGGGGCTGCTTAATGCTTTCCGGAGTCAATCATCTGCCACTTTGCCTCTTTTTTTTTATTTAAAAGTTTTATTTTCCATTTATCAATTACATAAATATAAAAATGCGCATTTAACAAAATAAAATAAATTCATACACATAACCATAGGTGTTGCTTGCCCACCTCCCCCCAAACTGCATCCACCCTCTCTAACACTCTCCCTTACTTCCCTCCTCTTTCTTCCCTCCCCTCCCTCTCCCCTCCCCCTCTTCTCTTACCATCCTACTTCCTCCCTACCCTTCCTCCTCCACTTTCATCCCTCTTCGGATCAGTACCGGGGCCCAAGCAATACCTCTCTCATAAATTACCCTATCTATATCTTATTTTAATTCTATTACCTAACCTACTTACCCACCCACCCCAACCCCCCCACCCACCCCCCTCACTTCCCAGAGCAGAATACAGGGTTATTAATAACAAAATCAACATAACTTTAAAAATATTATATAATAAACAAATTCATACTTAACCCTTAACTCCCCTTAAACTTTAACATCATAATAGTATAAACAAATCTCTTATAAAACATTTGTTATAAAATTTTAATCATAAAATAAATGCAACTTTTGAGTTCCATATTTATTCTGAATATAATCTATCCATCTTCTCCATACCATAATATATCATTCTTGTGTATGATCCTTTAAATAAGCAGAAATTTTAGCCACTTTGCCTCTTGCGTTGGTGACCTTTTACAAGTGGGGGGGGGTTTGACTCTTAAAGTTCATGTGGAAAACTCTTATTGAGCTGCAGCTTAGCTTAAAGGCACTGAGGAAATCTGAGAGTTTCAAGGACACTAACATAAAGGCCTTTGTGCAGAATTTCTTTTGCAGAATTAGTCTTATTAAATTCACACAGGGTGCTAAGCCAATGAATGTGTGTGTGAAAGCATCGTGGGTGCTCTCACGGAGTGGAGGTTTAGCGGAGAGACTTCAGTAGTCACTGCTTTAAAGTGTAACCCATTTTAGGCAAAGTCTATCATTAAAAAAACTGTTTTTAGCCAGGCTGAGACAACGCGTAGTAGGCAATTTGTCTTGGCGTTGAAATTATTCCTGAAATTTCACTCTACAAAATGATAAACAGGGGGAGGGGAGGAGACCGTTCTGTGCCTTTTCTCGTCCTTAAGCATCCAAGCTTTTGGGAGCCATCTCTGCAAATAGAGATAATTAGCTTTCATCCTTTAGTCAGTATTCCCAACTGAAATGTTTTAACTATTATTGTAATTGCAGCTGCTGCTTTATCCTTTCTTACTGGTACCTAAGGTGACCAACCGTCCTCCATTAGGGAGGACAGTCCCCCTTTTGTGAGTTCTGTCCTCCCTCGAAAAGTGTCCTCCTACATGTCCTCCTTTTCGACATTTGAAGATTAATCTGCAGGGCTTTTTTTCCCCTCATAGAATGCTCAGAACGGCGCGGCACCTTTTTTTGATGGGTTTTTTTTTTCAACTTTTGCATGAGCCGTGCTACTCCCACTATTGGCTTTCGAAAGCCAATAGGAATTGCTGCTGAGCGCACCAAAACACCCGGCTGGCAAACTTTGCACATGCAAGTTGTCTGTATTATTGTTGCAATGAATAAAATGTTTCTTTTGTTTACGATATTTTTTTCTTCAATTTATTTGTGTCCTCCTTTTCATTGTAAAAAAGTTGGTCACCTTACTGGTACCCTTTCCTTTTCCTTTTCCCCTTCATAACTGGACTATAAACCTCTGAGGCAGGTATATTTCTGTCGTGTATACCACTTTAAAAGAGCCTCACCTCTTTTTTGAGCAACATCCATAATAAACAAACCCAGTTGAAAATAGCTGTTTCGGTGGCCATTTAGAGAGTCCCAACAAGTGCACTTTGAATTCATGTGGCAGGGGAGGCTGGGGAATTCTGGGAGTTGAAGTCCACACATCTTAAAACTTGGCAAGTTTGAAAAAAAAACCCACTGACTTAGAGTAAAAGATGCCCTACCTACAGGTGGTCCTTGACATAATAAGCACAATTGGCATCCGAATTTGCATTGTTAAGCAAAGTAGTTGTTAAGTGACATCTCATTTTATGACCTTTTTTGGCCACAGTTGTATAATAATAATAATAATAATAATAATAATAATAATGATGATGATGATAAGGAGGAGGAGGAGGAGAGGAGCAGGAGGAGGAGGAGGAGGAGGAGGAAGAGGAGAAGAAGAAGAAGAAGGAGGAGGAGGAGGAGGAGGAGGAGGAGGAGAAGGAGAAGAAGAAGAAGAAGAAGAAGAAGAAGAAGAAGAGGAGGAGGAGGAGGAGGAGGAGGAGGAGGAGGAGGAGGAGGAGGAGGAGGAGGAGGAGGAGACCTTGGAGATCTTCTAGTCCAACCCCCGGCTCAGGCAGGAAACCCTATACCAGGGATAGGCAAACTTGGCTCTTTTATGACTCGTGTTCTTCAACTCCCAGAATTCCTGAGCCAGCTTAACTCAGCTTGGAAACCTCTCCCTTTTCCCTCAGCGTGGCTGGCTCAGGAATTCTGGGAGTTGAAGTCCACGAGTCATAAAAGAGCCAAGGTTGCCTACCCCTGCCCTAGACCATTTCAGACAAATGGCTGTCCAGTCTCTTCTTAAAAACTTCCAGTGTTGGAGCATTCGCAGCTTCTGGAGACATGATTCTGCGTGAATCATGCAGTCATTAAGTGAGTCCGGTTTCCCCCATTGACTTGCTTGTCATATGCCAACTGGGAACGGGGCAAATGTGATCACATGGCCCTGGCTGCAACCATCGTAAATACACATTGATTGTGCAGGGCCCAAGTTTTGATCACGTGACTGTCG